GAGAGGGAGTTGGAGGAGAGGGAGGAGGATCACGAGGAGGAGGACAAGGAGGAGGAGGAGAGGGAGGAGGTGGAGGAGGAGGAGGTGGAGGAGGAGGAGGAGGGGGGAAGGAGACACTCTTCGCCTTGGGGCTCCCCAGTCCCCGGCTGAGCAATGGTGATGAGGCAAGAACACAGAGCACTACGGGTGGGGAGAGGCTGACACCAGAGGAGAAACTTGGGGCTTACATCCTCGGCGAGGGCCACGGCGCCATGCAGAACAGGGGTTGGACTCTGCCTCTCGTAATAGCGAAGCTTCTCGTGAATCTGCGAAGACAGCGATTTCCGGCTGGGGCCTCCCAAGCCAGCTGCCTAGCTTTACCCTGGACACCACCCGGCCGCCCGGCTGTAGGGCTGCAAACTGGGTCATCCACAGGGCAGCTAAGAGAAGGCCCTGCACAGTGGGCTCCTGAAGGCCTTCCTGGGGCAGCGGGGTGGCTAGGGTGACCTCCAGAAACCCTCACAAGACAGGATGAAAGGGGGCTTTACCTTCATTAAGTAACTGAGGCTCTTTTCACTGAACACATCCTTCAGGAAGCCCATCTCTTCCTTGTGGTTGGAGTCAGGTCTGAGTTGAGAGGTCAGCAGCGCCAGGGTTTCATGCAAGCCTGCCAGAGTGTGGGAAAACAGTACAGCAAACACACGGTACCTCCACGGAGACGCCCCAGGGAGACCCCCGGTGGGCCCTCAAACCACACATCAGCCTGTCCTGTGAACATTCCCTCCCAGGCTCACATTCCTGAGAGCCAGCTGACAGCAGCCTGCTTTCCCTCCTGCCCGGCTGCTGGGAGACCAAGCCCCGGGCCGCACTCACCGGAGTCCTCGGACAGCACCGGCATGTCTGTGCTGGTCAGCTCCCCGCGCTGCCTGGGTCCTGGAGGAAGAGGGGGAGGAGGGGGAAGCTCCATGAAGCATATTCATTCAACAAACAGTGATGACACATCTACTGTGTCTGTCTGTGGCCAATGTGGGGACAGAGGGGACGGGAACAAACAACTCTTCACTTTTTGCAGAACGGGGAGAACACTGCAGTTTGCTGAGCGCCTGCAATGTGCCAAGCGCTGTGCTGGGTGATTTCATCTGACATTGTTCTTAATCTGCACAAGGCTCCGAGGAATGAATACTAATATTATTATTCTACCGATGGAAAAACAGAGGCTTAGAGGAATTCAGTGACGCGTGGCCCCTGGCTGACAGGGCGCTCTCCTCCACAACACCCCCTTCTCCTGTGACCTTCTATGAGGCTCAACCAAGTCCCTTGCCCGTCACACCTTCAACAAGTATCTGGCTGGGCCTACAAGCTCCCTCCTTTCCCTCCATCCCCCAAGCCCCAACCGGAAGGGAGCCTCCCCCGAGAACAGAGCATACAGAGGAGGAGCAATGAGAGCGCAGGGGGTCCTGCCTCAGAAGGCCCCCCAACTGCTCTGCAGCACGTGGACCTCAAAAAGTCCTCCTTCAGAAGGGGAGGAGGAGAGGAATGATTCATTCATTCCGGAAACACGGGGCCAGCCCCTCTGCGACTGCACGGGTGACACTAAGATGCATAAGAATGGTACCCGGCCCTCCAGCCCCCGCCCCTCGCCCCGCGCTGCAAGCCGGACTTTCCGTTTGGCTCCTTCTAGACGAGCACCCCGCCTCTCCCCCCTCGTCAGGCACAGACTCCACCTCGCCTTCAGCAGGAACCTGTGCCACAAACAAGGAGCGAGGCTGATCGAAGGAGAGGCGAAACCTGGAGGGCGCTGGGGGCGGTCTCTCAGGATGCCCGGCGGCTGGGAAGGAGCGGGGCCCCAGGGGAGGGGGGGCAGTGCGGGAGGGGGGACCGGGAGCCGTGGGGCGGGGACTGCGCTCCCCCTGCCCCCAGCGGGGGGCTCTGGGGGCCGCGAGGCTGCGGTGGGCACAGAGGCGGTCTCGGCCCATCCTCCGCGCCCCGCCCGGCCCCTCCCCGCGGCCCGGTCCCCAGTCTGTTCCCGGCGCGGTTCCTACCTGGGCGCCGAAATCTCCGCTCCAGCCCCGGAGCCACGCGGGCCGGGAGCCTGGGCCGCCGCTGGCTCCGCCTCCCGGCCCCTCCCTGCCAGGACCGGCGAGGCGGGGGTGGCGGAGCCGGAGGAGGCGAGGCGCGGGGAGGAGGAGGAGGAGGAGGAGGAGGAAGGAGAAGAGGGCGCCGGAGGAGGAGGGGGAGGAGCGAGGCTGTCTGCCAGCCCTCTGCTGGCCCAGGCTTCGCCTCCTGCGTCCTCCCCCTCCCCACGGTCCTCCCACCCGAGCCCCGAGGAGCCCTCTGCCGAGGTCCCCCCTCCCCCCGCCTGTGTCCCCCCACAACCCGGGCACACAGCCAGCGTGCCTTCCGCCCCCACCGCCCACACACCCAGCGTATTGCGGGTGGACGCTGGTTTAACGTACGATTAGATTCTGCAAACACTTATGGAGCCCCGTCCAAGGGCCAGGCACTGTGCAGGGGCGGGGGGTCCGGAGACGACAGAGACACAGATCCCGGACTTGAGGGGCTCCCAGGCGGGGGCGGTCAGACGCCAGGACAACTGTAACAATGCCGCGCTGGGAACGCCGTGTGGGCCGCACGCGGCCCGGGGCGCGGGGAAGTAATGGGGGGAGAAGTTGGGCTGGGAGACCGCAAG